TTTCTTGAAGTGTGTATGTTCTCTCAAGTTATTCCAAGTGTCTTTGGTGTTGTGTTAACCATTTGAGGTGTCACACTGAGGGCACTAGGCACTCAAGCTTCATGAAGACATTCTACATCAAAGAGGTATGTAATTCTAACTTGATATATTCATATGAATCAATTTTATTATGCTAGTTAGGATGAATACCTTCGAATGTTCATATTTGCATGTATAATAGAGAAAACATAGATCCAAGGTATTTAGGGTTTCATGTACACTTAGGAGGTTAGAATGCTTGAAACCCAACAGATCTAAGAGAGAAAGAGAGCTAATCTTTGGGCATTTTAGTACACTTTTGGAAGAGAAGAGAAGAGTATCAAAGCAAGAAACGAGAAGAGAGTGTTGGATCTGGTGTTATTTCATCTAGAGCTTCTGTTGAAGGTAAAAAGTCTCCACTTTGCTCATTAGTTTGATAAGATCTCATGTTATGGAGTTTTAGGGCTTATTCCATCTTTCCTTGACGCTTTGAGTGTGTTGAGCTTACCAAGAGATTGAGCCTTCAGATCTGGACCTTATGAGGTCCCTAGAGTCCAAAGGTCCCATCTTTATCCAGCTAATAGAAGAGCTTTCATGATTAAGACTCTAGCTGGAAATTCTTTTTGTTGGATATAGTGTCAAAGTCCATAACTATATTTGGTATGTACTTGACCCGACCCGACATGGTCCATTTGGGTTGCACTTCACCCGAACGATTCATGGATAATCTTTTGAGAATAGTATAAGTTATGATTTATTAATATATTATAAGTTCTAATATATTATATAAAATCATATTATTTAATTAGTGTTGATCTATAATTAAATTAGAATTAATTTAGAGATCAATCGTATGACTAATTAAATATGGGATCTTGTATTTATATAGTGTGGGCTATTGCTTATTTGGAATGAGCTATGATTGCATGGAAAGTCCATGGATACTCCATGGAGCTTTAACCCATGGATCTCATGGAAATGAAAAGACATGGGTATTAGGGTTTACATGTATGTAACCCTAGACCACCACACTATATAAAGAAGGCTTTGGTTCTTGAAATCACACTGGTTGTGGTGAGTATACTAAGAGGGCCGATTTCAAGAAAGGTTGTGACTATTCTCTCAAGTTTCCAAGTTTGTGGTGATTTGTGATTGGGAAATCTGCAAAAAAGTCCCAATATTTTAGGCCAGTTTACGATTTAGTCCCAAATTAAATTTTATTTACAAAAAAGGACATATTACCGGCTAAAACTTCGGATTAGCCCTTCGTGGCCGGTTTCACAGATTTAGCCGGTATCTCGTCTTTTTTCGTTAATTAATCCAAATTTTGGGGCTTTTTCATTAATTAATCAAAATTTTAGGGCTTTTTCATTATTTATTACCAATAAACCAAAATATTTGGATTTTTCTGAAGATTACCTTTAAACTAATATATATTATATTATATGATCTAATTTAATATGTACTATTCCATATCTTCTTTGTTATGCTCTTCTAGGCTCACTGTGTGTTGTTATCAGTGTCGTCAAACCTGACAACAAAAATCTCACTCACAAGCCTCGTTAACTCCATCAATTTTCCAAAATTATATATTCACAACTCTATGATCATCTTTCCATCTCCAAATAAAGAATGGAGAAAATCCTTGTTGATTACGTGGATGTCCCTATTATCTAACCATGACTTAAACTGTGGTTCCAACACTTGGATGTTCCTATTACCTAACCATGACTTAAACCTATACACTAATGGTGTTGTCCATAGTGTTGTTAACAATAGAAGACAAATCTCACATGTTCAACCACTGATACATTGGCTCAAGTCTTAGTTGACCCTTGTTTCCTTACAACACTATAGAAGCCCCAATATAAGATGAATCCCACATGGTTAATCATTTATTGGTTTTTTTTGTCAAAAAGTAAAGCATTTTGGAAGCCCCAAATAGACTAAAATGTAATAATGACAATTATTGTAATATCACACCAATTGTCATTATGACTTACACGTAACATCACAACAACTGTCATTATTACATTTTAGTCTATTTGGGGCTTCCAGAATGCATTAGTTTTTGGCAAGACAAAAACCAATAAATGATGAAGATTTTGATAAAGATCGGAACACAATCTTATTGATGGATCCAAGAGCTCCTTCTCGTCCCAAGCCTTTTTCTCCTCAATCTTCTTCCAAAAAATGCACTACAATATGAAATATTATCCTCTCTTTCTTTCCTACAAGCATATAGCTCAATTAGGGTTTCTCTCAGAGTGTTAAGATGACAAGGGAGGCGGAAATGAAGGCTTAAGGTCCTTTAAATAGGACACAACCCCTGAAAATTAGGGTTTTCAAACTCAGCTCCTACTCGTCGAGTTGGGGTCCTCCAACTCGTCTAGTAGACTCTAGAAATTACGTGACCATTAACACTCTCTACTCGGCGAGTTGGGGCCTCTAACTCGTCAAGTTGATAAGACAACAAGAATACAAATTAATTAAATATTATACCTGGGAGTCGGGATGTTACACCTATTATAAGGAAACAAGGGTCAAGTAAGACTTGAGCCAAGGTATCAGTGGTTAAACCGTGTGGGATTTGTATTTTGTTGTTAATAAAACTATGGACAATGCCATTAGTGTATAGGTTCGAAATAAGGTTCGAGTCATGGTTAGGTAATAGGAACATCCGAGTGTTGGAACCGTAGCTTGTAGGTATACCAAATTAATATTTTAATAGTTTATGATGGATAGCTTGTTGACATTTTTTTACAATTAGAGTTACCATTCTTCATGGTTTTCAGTACATAATATCGAGTTGGTTTTTTTTACCTATGTTGTGTTTTTTAAGCTTAATGGTTCATTCTTCATGGTTTTCAAGCCCTATTGTAAGGAAACAAGGGTTATGTAAGACTTGAGCCAAGGTATCAGTGGTTAAACCATGTGGGATTCGTATTTTGTTGTGAACAACACTATGGAAAATGAGAATAGTGTATGGGTTCGAAATATGATTCAATTCATGGTTAGCTAATAGGAACATCCAAGTGTTGGAACCACGGTTTAAGTCATGGTTAGGTAATAGGGACATCCACGTAATCAACAAGGATTTTCTCCATTCTCTATTTGGAGATTGAAAGATGATCATAGAGTTGTGAATATATAATTTTGGAAAATTGATGGAGTTAACGAGGCTTGTGAGTGAGATTTTTGTTGTTGGGTTTGACTACACCGATAAAAACACACGGTGAGCCTAAAAGAGCATAAGAAAGAAGATATGGAATAGTACATATTAAATTATATCATATAATATATATTAGTTTAAAGGTAATCTTCAGAAAAATCCAAATATTTTGGTTTATTGGTAATAAATAATGAAAAAGCCCTAAAATTTTCATTAATTAATGAAAAAGCCCTAAAATTTGGATTAATTAACGAAAAAAGACGAGATACCGGCTAAATCTGTGAAACCAGCCACGAAGGGTTAATCCGAAGTTTTAGCCGGTAATCTGTCCTTTTTTGTAAACAAAATTTAATATGGGACTAAATCGTAAATTGGGCTAAAATATTGGGACTTTTTCGCAGATTTCCCTGTAACTATACCACATATACACAAAATACAAATACATTCACATACACACAAAATAGCATCCTACTTTAACCACATACACATAATTTCACATATATAGATAATAACATCCTAATTATACCAAACACAAAAATTTCACAATCATATACCACATTTACAACAAACATACATACATTCACATACACACAATAACATCCTACTTATAACAAATACATATAATTTCACATATATTCAGATAATAACATCATATACTTATATATATATATATATATATATATATAATATATATATATATATATATATTGCTACCAAATACTCATATACCACATACATCAAATATCAAATATACACACAATTTTCACATTTGGCAATTTACACATAATTTTCACATACAAATATCAAATTCACAAAAAAATGAAATAATAGAACCTGTAGTGACGGAAATCAACCGGTAATAGCTGGAAAAACTATTATTCACCTGATGAAATTACTTATCCAAAACCTGGGAGCCATCCAAAATGTTACAAATCACTTCAACATTATTTGCAAGGATAACATACAAATTAAATTACCAAAACTTAGAAATTTAATCAACACTTTTTCAGTGTTAACAAACAAATTAACAAGGAAATTATCAAAGAAATTTTCAAATCAACTTACCCTAATTTCTTCAAGAACTCCACTTAGAAATTGGTTCCGAATCACACCTTAATCCCTAATACACTTAATATCACACAAGATATGGAGAAATCAAGATGGAAGAAGAAATTTTTGGAAGAACTCGGTTGAAGGTGTAAGGGGCGAAGAAGAAGTGGGCTGCAAACAGAAAGCAAATGAGAAGAATAAGTTTTGTGTGCGTTTTTTTTATCTGTGTCAGCCTTTAGCGGCGACAATAGTCAATAGCGGCGACAATCTGGAGGAAAGGGTACCCGGTCATTTTTTAGTGCATCATTAGCGGCGACAATTTCGAGCTTTAGCGGCGACACATATGTCGCCGGTATTAGGTTAGTTTGGATAAGGTACCCTAACCGTTGGATTAAATATTTGATCGGACGGTGTAGATGTAACGGAAGGGGAAGACGCGGACTCGGGTGATCACCCTTTAGCGGTGATGCTATTACCGGCAACAGGGACCTTTAGCGGCGACTCTAGAGAGTGTCGCCGCTAAAAGTCCCTGTTGCCGGCAATAGCGTCGCCGCTAAAAAGTGATTTTCTTGTAGTGGAACTCATAATAATACATTATATATATATACTAGACTGTAACGAACACGCTTTCGGTGGGATTTTTGTTCTTCTTGGTGGCGACTTTCGACAAGCGCTTCCCATCTTGCCAAACGCCACACGTTCTCAGATTGTTGACTTTACACTGCCAAATTCGCATTTTTGGAGTCTTTTCGAAATTCACATGCTGACACAGAACATGAGGTTAGTTACAAATATGGATAATGACATAGATAGACCCTCAATGACCAGCTTTGCTGAATGGCTGCTTCAAATTGGTGATGGGTTGGTTGGGCAGCCTAATATAGAGGATCCACACGATACCTCATGGATACAAATTCCATCCTCATTATTGATACCACCGGGTTCCAATTCTCTCGAAAATCTCAGACACTTTGTATATGAAACAGCTATGCTCAACAATCCCACTGCGACAGATCTGTCAGTTCAGGCAATCGTGTGTCCAACAAATGAAATGGCTGACATGATAAATAGTATTGTTCTAAAAAAAATGGGACAAATGGTAAGATATATAGCAGCACGGATAGTATGCAACCAAACGGAAAACATCCATCGGATCTAGAAGGAGTCTATCCTATAGAATACCTAAATAACTTATCATTTACAGGGATACCACCTCATACACTTGAGTTGAAAATAAACACGCCCATAATGCTACAGAGAAACATCAATCAACGAGAAGGTTTATGTAATGGCACCCGTCTTATTGTATCACAACTCTTACCAACCGTTATTGAAGCCACCATAATAACGGGAACATGCATTGGATAGAGGGTTTACATTCCTCGCATAAAATTCATACATATGCCATCAGATCTACCCATTACCTTTTCAAGAAAACAGTTTCCAATTAAATTATGCGATGCTATGACCATCAATAAAAGTCAAGGACAATCACTAAAAAAAATTGGAATTTATCTGTCACAGCCAGTTTTTTCACACGGAGCATTGTCCAGGGCTACTTCCCCTACTTCATTAAAGATTTCTCATAGAAACAAATGAAAACGACAGACGCAATCAAACAAAGAATGTCGTATATAAAGATATATTGCACAAGGTCACTCCAAAAGAGGTCCATCGTATCATTACTATATACCCATTTCGTACACATACTCATACTCTATATTACCATACTTGTACTTGAAACCGTTAATGAATATTTATACATATTACATATATGTTTTTTTTCTTATATTACCGAATTTCATACTTTTTCCCACTATAACATTTACCTATAGTCAACAATTACTTACATGCTTTTAGTCTTATCAGAAACGAAGTACAGACCATGGTTACCATATCTGACCTAAAATGCGAAGGTGTTGGAGCCCCTATATAGGTTAGAATCCTTCGTAATGGAAACATGATGTTCGTCGGTATGAAACGTGGTACCTAGCTATTGACAGATTTGTAAGCTTATTACAGACAACATCCATTTCCCATGTACATATAACGCATACCATTTTAAGGGATTCATATATATATATATATATATATATATATATATATATACCACATATGTTACAGGGCGATGCTATACAGATCCTTGGACAACGAACCAATCAGGCTTACATAGAATCGATAATGAATGTTTCTAATTATTACACTATATCTGAGTACAGTTGTCCTGAATTGGATAGACATCAAAAAGTGATAGAAAATACTTTCTATATCGATGTTGGTCTCAGCTCCATTATCAGTCCACTTCCAGATACAGTGACCATACCAACAACTTGGTTTCGCTTTGTTTCCAAACCACAGTTGATAGGTCTTGGAGAAAATCCGCCGTATTTTTCCAGGTAACAACATAATCCGATTGGAATTCTTTGTGGTCGCTTCAATCAAGTATTTACAAAATTATGAATTTAGACTTCATTGGGGTGCTATCGAAGATCAGAGATTGTACAAAACAAGATGGCCAGTCTTTTATCCTTCTTATTCTTATGGATGACTGGTATTACTTGCAATATTCAACAGTCGTTTAGAACATGTTTTTTTTATTTTTATACTGACAACATTATGTACAAAAAAAATTACAGCGGCAATAAAATCGCAATCAACCTATGGAAAGAATGTATTACTGTTCTAACAAAATTTGATCGCAGCCTACTTATTCCACTCCCCACTATCACAGTGGTAGCTGTGACAAATCTTAAACCCTCCGTTTCGGCCGGTAATATACATTTACTAAACAGAAAAATATACATAATGTGATAATCATTAACCCCTATATATAAACCCGTCCTTACAGGAAAGCTACGTCATGATCATCACATGCAACTCATATATATGTGAATCCACAAATCCCAGAAACTACATCTCTTATAAACCTATAAACTCCACATGCTATATATATATCTCTTAAAATCGGTTTACCCAAAATTAATACTTATAATTATTTCAACGTCATATCAGTTTTAGCGGTCCAATGCGTCCACAGTCAGCGCCTTCGGGAATACCAACAACCCAGAAAGACATCAAATTGAAAATGCAGTCGGAACTACTGGTAAACGATCTCCTACATAACTCACATTTGTTACATACATATTATAATATATCGACTTATAGTTGCATATCGATAGGAAAAAACATTTATGGTGAAAGCATCCATCACAGAGTTTGTATTCCAAGACAGTTGGTGTCAAATAACATGTCCGACATGCAGAGATCCAATATTTAAAAGAGGTCCACATTGGTTTTGCAGTGCACACGGAGCTATTGAGAAACCATCACTAACGTAAGTACCCTTCTCCACTGATACAAAACATACATATCTTAGCAAACATGCCAACGATCAACTTCCATATGCAGTAATACATTTAGTGTGATGATAACGGACACAACTGACACTTTACAAGCCATCGTATCTGACACCTCATCTCGGAAACTACTAAGTGCTAATCCCGAAACCTCTCTCCCCGAAATCAATTCCATTAATAGAAAAGTATTACCAACAGCTGTCACCAAACAGAAAGGAGAAATTAAAAATATGTCAATCCAGATGCTCAGAACATCCACTTCAGAAAATTTACGTTTCATAATAATCGATCTTGTTAAAAGGTTATATATAATACAAACTTGTCATTTATAAAGGAAAAATGTTGTGGTATATATTGTTATTTCAGGTGTTTACTACGCGGGTTGTTTAACTTGGATCCGGGTTTGACCCGGTGTATATAAAGCTGATTATCCTTCAGTTGTGTAGTTCAGATTACAGATTCACTCTCTCACAAAAATTGTTCGCTATAGTTTTAGGGTTTGTACTAGGGTTTCAGTTTATATTCTTTTGATTTTGTTCTTCTTGTTCATTAGAGAGCTGAGAGTTATTGTAGTGAGGATTTCTGTGTAATCTGTATGATGAAAAACCAACTGTTTCATATATAAATGAAATGTTGATGTTGGGAAATTATGAGTTTATGTTTTCGTACATGGTATCAGAGCTTTAGGGTTCTTCATCTTCGTGGTTGATGATCATCGAAGGTTTATATCTTCAATTGGTGCTCATCGAAGGATACTTCATCTGAAGACGTCATAAGAGGTTGTTTCTACTTCTTATGTTCTTTTTCTTTTAGATCTGTTACTAGATCTGTTGATCAATCGTTTTTTTCTCTTCGATTGAGGTTATTTTATCATTTTCTTTTTTATTGTTCTTCGATCTTGGTACTGTGAGTTTTTTTTTTGTGGTTCATTGCAGGTGGTTGAACCTGATTTGTATTCTGGCCGTGTGATAGTGGAACATCGGAACTCGCAATAAACGACAATCCATCAATTGATCAATCTGTTGTCTGAAATAACTCACTAGGGGTCGGATTTCATCACCGATCAACCCTATGTTGGGAACGGAAAAACAGAGTCGGTTTGTTTTTCATCCCGTCTTATAAAGCACTGTGAGGATTTTCTTGTTCCTTTTTTCTCTCAATTATATTCAGTGATTGGAAGATCCTGGTGCTTTGTATACACCAGTTATATTTTTTTCCTTCTTCTTTGTTCGATAGTTTTTGTTTTCTTGACTCTGTATTGATTGTCTTGGGCCCCAACAAACGTGGTGACCATCTGGACTTTAGGTCGATACATGAGTCTGTTTTTTTGTGTGTCTAATTGTTGTTCTGTGTTTCCTATTTGGCTGTTGTTGTGCTTTGCTTCAGTCTTGAGTTTGTCTGTCTAATTGATTGACTGATAAGTTTTTTAAATGGCTGGTTCTGCTGAATCTCCAAGTGGAAGTGGAAAGGATGATTCAATCATTTTTGATGATCCTCTCTATGTCCATCCTTCTGATAATGCTACTACAACTATTATTAGTGTGAAATTGTCTGGAAATGAAAATTTTCGTATTTGGAGAAGCTCCATGTCTAGGGCACTTAAAGCTAGAAACAAACTAGGTTTTGTTGATGGTACCTTTAAAAAGGATAATGTTGAAAAAATCAAAGAGTCTAAATGGGAAAGAGCTAATGTTGTTGTGTGTTCTTGGTTATTGTCTTCCATTAGTGACTCAATCTATGCTAGTCATGCTTATTCAGATAATGCTCAAGAAATCTGGGAAAATTTATTTGAAACATATAATAAAGCTGATGGGTCTGTTGTGTTCAATGTTCATCAAAGAATTAATTCTTTAAAACAAAATGGTATATCTGTTTCTGATTTCTTTAATAAACTTGATGCCTTATGGAAGGAGTTTGATGGTTTAACTAGTCTCACAGAATGTACTTGTGAGGCTACAGCTAAACTAAATGATCACTCTAAACTAATGAAACTCATGCAATTTCTGAGTGGTTTAGATGAGTCTTATAATCAGGTTAAGAGTCATATATTGCTTATGGATCCACTTCCTAATGTGAAAACTGCTTTTTCAATTATACCTCGTGTAGAGTCTCTTCAAAGAAATGGATCTCTTTCTAATGACTCCCAATCTGGTTCTAAGAGTCAACCTAGTGCTTTTAATAGTAAATTCAACAATAAATTTTCTAATAATAAAAGCAAAGGTTCAAGCCTTCAATGTAAAAATTGTGGTCTAAAAGGACATACTATTGAGAAATGTTATAAACTAATTGGATATCCAAAGGATTATAAACCTAGAAGTGATGTTAATCAAAATAGTCAAGTTAAAAACTTTAAAGCAAACTCATTTGTTGTTACACCTGGATCAAATGATTCTGGAGAATCTGAATTTCCTCAACTAACTAAGGATCAATATGCCAAGTTTCTTAGTCTAATAGGAGAAAGAAAGTGCAATGAGGAAGCATCTGTCAGTTCCAATATGGCAGGTACTTGCTTGTTTAATGTTTGTGGTTCATTTTATAATGATAATAAATGGATTGTTGATTCTGGTGCTAGTCAACATATGATAGCATCAGAATCTCTTTTGCATGATACTGTGGATGTGTCTAAGCTTAACCTTCTTGTTAGTCACCCTAATGGAACTTGTGCTAAAATAGAAAAAATTGGAAATTTAAATATCTCAAACTCTTTAACTCTATTTGATTTGTTTGTTGTTCCTGAGTTTAATGTTAATCTATTGTCGGTTCACAAAATTTGCAAAGATAATAAGTGTGAAGTTGTCTTTAATGAACATAGTTGCAAAATTCAGGATTTACACTCAAAGGAGATGGTGGGGAATGGTAGTGAAACTGGAGGTCTCTATTATGTTGATAGTGTACCTTCTGGTAATTCTTTTACTTCTAATTCTGTTATGTGTTATGTTTCTAAATTAACTTGGCATAATAGACTTGGTCATCCTTCTGACCAAGCTCTGAATTCTTTAAAAACTCATCTTAAATTTGAAAATGAATCTTTACCTCCTTGTGATGTTTGCCATAAGGCTAAACAAACAAGGGATTCTTTTCCCACTAGTCAACATGTCACTTCTTGTTTAGGTGAACTTGTTCACTTAGATGTGTGGGGTCCTTATAAAGTGGTCACTTCAGAAGGGTTTAAGTTCTTTCTTACTATAGTGGATGATTTCACTAGGGCAACTTGGATTTATTTACTTAAGTCTAAAAGTGAAGTTTTTTCTTGTGTTTTTGATAAATAGAACTCCCACTTCTGTTTTAAATGGAGCCTCTCCTTATGAACTTGTTTATAAATCTTGTCCTAGCTTTGATAAACTTCGTGTTTTTGGTTGTCTTTGTTTTGCAACTAAACTGAATAATTTTGATAAAGTTTCTGAACATGTTGAAAAGTGTATTTTACTTGGGTATTCTTTGGAACAAAAAGGTTATAAGGTTTTGAGTCTTGATTCAAATTTTCTTTTTGTTTCCAAGGATGTCAAATTTTATGAATCAGTGTTTCCATTCAAGCTTAATTCTTTTTCTGGTGATAAAACTACTAGTTTTAATAATCCAAGTGACCCATTTTCCTGTGATGACCTTCATTTGTCTAGTTATCTTCAAGAAAATAATGATTTAGGTGATTTAGGAATAACCCTTCATTCTGAAGGTAATGAAGCAGTTCATAATTTGGATGAGACCTCCAATGATGAGGTCAGCAACCAAAGTGACATGGCACATGTGCAACAGAATGTTGTGGATGTTCCTAGTTCATCTAGTATGTCTGAGGATAGTATCTTAGAACAAAATAATCTTTCTGATGACCACTCATTAGGTACTACACGATCTGGTAGAAATGTTCGTTTACCAACAAGATTTAATGATTTTGTTGTGGAAAGTTCACACAAATATGGGTTAGAAAAGTCTGTGAATTATTCTTTGTTAGCTAATGATAGTAAATGTTTTGTTTCTAATCTTAATAAAACATTTGAACCTAGCACTTATTCTGAAGCTTCAACTGATCCAAATTGGATCAAAGCTATGAATGAGGAAATGGAAGCTTTATATAGGAATCATACTTGGGATATTGTTGATCTTCCAAAAAACAGAAATCCTATTGGTTGTCGGTGGATTTATAAAATAAAATACAAATCTAATGGTGAGGTTGTGATATAAAGCTAGATTAGTTGCAAAAGGATAGAATCAAAGAGAGGGAATAGATTATGAAGAAACTTTTTCTCCTGTTGCTAAAATTGTTACTGTTAGGATTGTGATTTGTGTAGCTGTTAATAATTCATGGCCTCTCTATCAATTGGATGTTAACAATGCTTTTCTGTATGGTGACTTGGTAGAAGATGTATATATGACATTACCTGAAGGATATCACACTAAAAATGATAGTAGAGTTTGTAAATTGGTGAAGTCTTTATATGGTTTAAAACAGGCTCCACGAAAGTGGAATGAGAAACTTTGCTCTTCTTTGTCGGTTTTTGGTTTTGTTCAAAGTATAAATGATTATTCTTTATTTGTTCGCTCAAAAAATAACACCATTGTTATTTTGTTAGTATATGTTGATGATATAATTCTAACAGGTAACAGTTGTGTTGAAATTGAAAATGTAAAATCATTTCTTAAGTCACAGTTTAGAATTAAGGATCTAGGGTTGTTGAAATATTTTCTGGGAATTGAAGTTTTGTCTACTAGTAATGGTGTATGTCTAAATCAAAGAAAATACTGTTTGGAGTTATTACATGAATTTGGTATGCTGGCATGCAAACCTGTTAAAACTCCTTTGGAAGTCAATTTTGTGTTTAACAGAGATTGTGATGATAATACTGATCTTATAACTAATATAATAGAGTTTCAAAAACTTATAGGAAAATTGATTTATCTCACTGTTACTAGACCTGATATTAGTTATGTTGTCCAAGTATTAAGTCAGTTTATGCATAAGCCAAGAAAATCACATTTAAGTGTTGCTTTCAGATTATTAAGGTATTTGAAAAATTGTCCTGGTAAAGGTGTTTTGTTTTCTAAATCTAATAGTTTTGATGTTGTTGGTTATGTGGATGCTGATTGGGCCAAATGTCTAACAACTAGGAGATCTGTTTCTGGTTATTTGGTTTATTTAGGAAACACTCTTATTTCTTGGAAAAGTAAGAAACAAAGCACAATGTCCAGGTCATCAACAGAATCTGAATACCGTGCTTTGGGTTCTGTAACATGTGAAGTTTTGTGGGTCTTAAAGGTTTTAAGTGATCTTGGTTTCAAAAGTTTAACTCCTGTTAAATTGTTTTGTGATAATGAATCTGCTATTAAGTTAGCTTTAAATCCTGTTTTTCATGAAAAAACAAAACATTTTGAGGTTGATGTGCATTTTGTAAGAGAAAAACTTGAAAATAATGTTTTAAAATTAGTTAAGATTAATTCTTCTAATCAAAATGCAGACATTTTAACTAAGTCATTAAGTTTTTTTCAGCATGAGTTCTTGTCAAAGAGACTTGGTCTTGTAAATTTGTTTTCTGGTAAATAAATTTGTATAAATTGACAAGTTTGAGAGGGGGTGTTAAAAGGTTATATATAATACAAACTTGTCATTTATAAAGGAAAAATGTTGTGGTATATATTGTTATTTCAGGTGTTTACTACGCGGGTTGTTTAACTTGGATCCGGGTTTGACCCGGTGTATATAAAGTTGATTATCCTTCAGTTGTGTAGTTCAGATTATAGATTCACTCTCTCACAAAAATTGTTCGCTATAGTTTTAGGGTTTGTACTAGGGTTTTAGTTCATATTCTTTTGATTTTGTTCTTGTTGTTCATTAGAGAGCTGAGAGTTATTGTAGTGAGGATTTATGTGTAATCTGTATGATGAAAAACCAACTGTTTCATATATAAATGAAATGTTGATGTTGGGAAATTATGAGTTTATGTTTCCGTACAGATCTTGAACCATCAAATGTTCACCTTTGTCAGAAACATCTATTCCTCCCATCGAACATAAAACAACAGAAAAGAGAAAAAAAAAATTAAACACAACACACTATTTATATCCACCACTTCCTGTCATCAATACACATCACTTCCAAAATCATGAATCACTCTAACACAATATCTTTAAAATCAAAGATTGACCATTGTTCCAAACATTTATTCCACCCATCAAACATAAAGCAACAGAAAAGAGAAAAAAATTAAAGACAACACACTATTCCTATCTACCACTTCACTATCATCAATACACATACACACTTTCCATAACTCTAGTCGTCTTTACATCACTTCCGAAATCATGAATCATTTAAGTCCAACAACCGAATCGTCATGACCATTAATACACCATCTATAAATCTACTAACCTCATCACCATTCCATATCCCATCTATTCATACTATCAGTGCAAAGAAATCCAGTGAGCTTGAAAATATGAAACCTACAGAAATGAAAAAGATCATTCAACTCCTCATCCATCAGGCGGAAGAAGAAAAAACAACATTAGCAAACGTGGAGAATGACTACTTCTTACACGAACAGCTGAGGAATGAAATAATGGAGAAAATGAACTGCCGTCCGAGGTATCCGAACTATCTTCAGACCAAAGCCATTCTCACCACCAGCATACACGACGGAGCAAAAGCAGTCCAAATCATCTACAGCTTGAAGAGAGAGACTGAATCGATCATTGAGAAGCTGAAAATGGAGATGAAAAAGATTCCAGAAGATGATCAGCCATACATGGACTAACGGACCACGCCAAAACAACCACCTCTTTTGCTCTTTTGCACAACGTCAGGTCTTTTGATTATCATCATCCTTTTATTTGCAAAAATGTAAACATGTTTAAGAAATATATGGCGTGGTTGACCAGTCTGTTTACTATATATTATCCTAATTCTGTTGACTATATATTATTCTAATTGTTAACACAGATATCCACACACATCCATATATTACCGACATATCGAATAAACAAAATATATAATGCTTCTTTTAAGGCCATGCACCAAAAAAAAACTGACAGATAAACTAAACTCGCCATGATCTACCCAAATAGATAGGCCATCATATACCTATCTAAGATTCCATAAATCTATAAAAAAAAAAAAAAAAAAAGTTATCTCATACCCATACATTTTCTATATAAACGATCACTTTCCTTAACTTACCAACAAACAAAAGATGGAAAACATTATCACACAATTAATAGAGCAGGCAAACACCATGAAGAACAACATCGCTATGGTACAAACAACCTACGCTACCATCTCTACCATAAATCAAAACCTTCTGAAAGAATCACCATCGTTTCTACAATACGCTCACTACGTCATCACCACCGAACTCATTAAAGATATCGATAAAGAAACCGCTATGATGATGGACTCCTTCAAAGCCATGCATGAAACTTTCAACATCCTCATAGAAGCGTATTCCAAAATCCTGAAAGATCTTCCCCACATATAACGCTGCTAATATCCATATTTTTGTAATATCGACTACGGTAACGTTGAATTTTTAGTTTAATCCAACAACCGAATCGTCATGGTCATCTATAAATCCATTAACGCTGCTAATATCCGTATTTTTGTAATATCGACTACGTAACGTTGAATTTTCATATGTTGGTAAACATATCTTCAACGGTAAATTAGTGTTTAATCCGATGTTCAATACTATGTAACGTAAACTACTGTTTAATGTAATGCTTAATGTTTCGTACGTTTAACATATCTACAACAGTAAATTATGTTTTGGTTACATATCCGACCCCGCGAAGCGGGGTGACTCAACTATATATATATATATATATATATATATATATATATATATATATATATATATATATATATATATATATATATAAAGTTGGACTATGTATGATTTTGGATATCTAGAACTCATAATAATACATTTTATATATATATATATATATATATATATATATATATATATACTAGCAGTGTACCCGCGCAAAGCGGCGGGGCGTGTAAATTCTTTCGGTGATATGTTTCCTCTACAAAAATGTTATTTTACAAAAGAAAGTACATGTCGAAGACAAAATAATCAAACTATGGCGTTATTTGGGAGATGAAGTCATTTTTTGTTCCTGGACGGTGGGCTTTATAGCAGAGGAGGGAACAAAGAGGTATATGCGATTGGAGGGATATTTGAATCAACATGCTAAATTTAAGGATATCTAAAAGGGTTCAAAATTTGAATGAATCCGGGATTTGAGGGAACCATATCAAATTGTTGAGAAATATAAGGAGATTTGATGATAAATATTTGAATTCAAAATGTGGTTAAAATTTAATATTATTTTATTAGTGGTTACTTGTACTATCAGCTTCATCATTTGGACGTCTTAAAAAAATAATATTATTATAATCAATCTATTTTTAGAAATAGTTAGATTTCTTTTATAAGATAGTAAAGATATATATTAGTTTGATTTATTGTTATTTTTAAGCTTTACTGTTTATTTAGTTTTCTTAAAAATGTATTTATTAATTGTAACAATTTTGAACCAAACTAAACATGTTTATATGTTTTTTTTTTTTTTTGTAAATTCTAGCTTTGCCCCCCTAGCTTTTATTACTTGTGTTCGGCCCTGTGCATTCCCAACAAAAGGCTTTAAATTCCATGGGCAAAATGTATAGATTTTTATAATGTAATCTAATAAATTTATGCATTAATAATAAAATAAGATAAAATTTTATTTGGAAATACGTTCACACGGCTTTTGCAATCCACTTGAAGGCTTATGGACCCAAAGTCCTTATCGTGGACCCAACGACTTTTTATCATCGACCAAAAGACTTTTTGTTTACAAGGTTCAATATAAATGTTTGTCCGCATCTCACCAACTCTCTCGTAGATTATTCTGTATTAGAAAGCTGGTGCGATGGGACTCTACGGCAGTATGTTTTTGATCAGAAGCTTTTTTTTCGTGCCGTGGATGTTTGATGCTCAGTAACTTCGTAAGTTCATAATCCTCATATTCACCGTGGATACAAATTATTTTTATTTTTTTATGTGGGGAAATGCGCTACTCGGTCTGTGGTTTTTACTAATTTCAAAAAATTTATCTTATCAGCAGGTATTCTAGAATTTTGAAGAACCAATGGCTTACAAGCGCCAAAAACTTATAGCTGGTAACCTAAGTGGGCCGGATATTATGCCCTTTGACGTAGTACCTTCATCAGTTGTTGAGATTGCTCCTATTCTTCGTGCTGCAGACGAATTTGACTCAGAAAATCCAAGCGTTGCCTACCTATGTAAGCCCCCAATATATAATAACAAGCTAGAGTGCAGTAGAATATATATATATATATATATATATATATATATATATATATATATATATATATATATATATATATATATATGTATGTCACTGTTTTGAAAACAGAACCGGACCGGCTGGTTCAACCGGAACCGGTCAGGAATCCGGTTTTATTAGCCTAGAAAACCGACAGTTTATGTAACGGAAAAAACCACCGGTTTAGTCAAAAACCGGTCAAAACCGACTTGGTTGAACCAGTCAAAACCTAAGTTTACCAAATATAAAATTTAAAAAGACTACATAAACTTTGGGCCATCTAAATAAAGAGAAGCCCACTTTAGTAACATGTTCCATTCTCTTCTCTTTGAGCTGTATGCCAATACTAATCACAAATGATGTGAGTAGGAGAAGCTTATATAAACAAGACACACCACCATACTTCTTACATTCGGATAGTTTCCATTCTTCTTTGTATCTTATTACTTATATAGCTGTCCCTCTACTTTTTTATTTTATTTTATTTTTTATTTATTTATTTATCAATTAATTAATTGTGAAACTCATGTATTACACAGGTTAATTTAAAAATAAATAAATATAAAAACTTAAATATTTGGGAACTTTAAATTTAAAAGCGAACAAGAAACATAATGAATTATTAAAATTAGAATTTTTTTTATCTTTGAATTTTAAACAATTAATTTAAATAAATAAACAAATGAAACTAATTAGTTTTAATTATAAAATTTTGAAATTAGAAGATAAGTTAATTAATGAAATTGATATCCATTTGTTAGTCATTTATTATAATTATTACATTAAAATATTATGTGGAATATAATAAAATAAGAAACTCATAAAACTACATTTGGAAAAAAAAAAATAGTTCAAAATAACTATAAAATGACATTTGAAAAATTAAATAAGATTATGACATGTGATAAAAAAATCTTAATTTATTAGATTAGATTTTAATATTTCCTTTCAACTTTAACTTTTAAAACATTTTCATTGTTTTCAAGGAACCGTTGTAAACCATAGAACTAATGAACCATTATTTTTATGTTTTAGATTTTATTATTTATCGAAAAAAGATTCTAAAAATATAGAAATTCATAACTTTTGTCTTCTTTCCATTGATATTAAATTTGATAAATTTTTTTACTTTTTTATCTGTTCAGATTAATGATGTGAATTTGCACTGTAAATCATTAATTTTATATAAACTGACAATATAAATCTAGACAAATTCATAGTATGAATCTGCACATATTCATAGTGTGAATCTGCACAGATTCACAGTGTGAATTTGTTCAGATTTCACATTGTAAATATGTATAGATCTTTATTTATTTATTTATTTTTATCAAATTTGATATCAATGAGTGGAGGATAAAAAGTTATTAATATCTATATTTTTAGTTTTTTTTTTTTTAATGTAAATTTTGCTCTAAAACTTAAGAAAAGATTGGTTCATTTGGTTTAAGGTTTAAAATGGTTCCTTGTTGAATGAACCCAACCCTATATATATATATATATATATATATATATATATATATATATATATATATATATATATATATATAGACACACACACACATTGTTTTTCCAACTTTTAGGGTCGATCCAATCGGTCAGACCACTTGAACCATCGAACCAGTAACATGACCGGTTCGATGTCCAGTCCAGTTTTCAAAACCTTGATGTAGTTGTATATATATAGGGACGCACGTTTTTAAAATTGAGTCGCGTAAAGATACTAGACAAAATACTCGATCAACAAACAATTAACTAAGAAGAAGGAAAAAATATATTTCAACTCCAATTCCCAATATGGCCAAGTTTGTCAACCCAAACTGAAGGGAGGATTAGGAACACATTGTTGTAAATGACATGTTTGGCCAGGAGAAATGTTGATTTGAGTTGGTAAATTGTATGGCAAACAATATTAATTGTATAAATGTAAGGTTTGAATTTGCTTGCAATATTCACCTTGTGATAGCATTAAAGGGTCTACAAAATGTAAGTGGCCAATTTCCTAAGGAATAAATCAACCTCATTATTAGCCTAAGCCATTTCAACAAGAAATAAATAATTTGTGGGATACCACCCCTCTTTTCCTTGTAAAAAGAGATGAAGAAAGATCTTTACCATATGAAAGTAAGCTTTCAAAAATTTCCTTGTCATTGTGGTGGCTGATAGTTGTTTTGGAGCCGAGTGCGAATCTACCAAAGGTTGATGCGGAGCACATAGATGATCAGGCGGTTTATGGACAAATGGGAGAAAGACAAATGGGGCCAAAAGAGGCTGAACTTGAAACGGGAATAACTATTGATCGGTAAGGAATTCGGAGCCACACAATATATCAACGGAAACGAATCAATAGGCTGAAGCTCCTGACAAGTCAGCATTGACTTGCCCTTCAGTCGACCCTCAAATTCCACTCCTTTGGCCCCCAAATTCCAATTTTCCCAAATTTTTGAATAATTTCCGTCTTTATTTTATTTTGTTTTAATGACAAAATATTTATTTTCCTTATTTTTTGAAATTCCCTCTCTTATTTAGAAGGTTATTTAGTAGATTTATTGTTGATTTCAGTTTTCAAATCTAGCATCACCCTTTAGAAAGGGTTCATTGTAAGCCTTTAGAGACATCTTAAAAATTTCAGTAACAAAATACTTCAAGTTTCTTTATATTTTTGCTTTTGTTCTGCGTCAAAGGTAGAGTTCCTATTTGATCAAAATAAATATTTTAAAACATATAGGAGTGATTACATATAGTGAAAAAGTATACCACTGAAGCATTACTTTGTGTTTACTTAAATGCTGTGTGGTCTTTGTTTGTTTACACACATGCAGTGGCATCATGAAACTTTTTTGTATACATAATCAGGTCGGTTCTATGCCTTTGAGAAAGCTCACATGCTAGATCCATCATCAAGTGGTGTTGGTGTTTGTCTATTCAAGACTGCCTTAATTCGTCGCCTAGAAAAGGTATGTGTTCTCTTTGGTTCCATGTCAATGTACTTTCTGCCTTAACACTTTCCGAGCACTTTGAAACACACTAACACTGTGATGGTGGAAATTGTTCTCCACATTTGTAGTAATTGTTTCATTTTAAAATGTTATCTATATCAAGAAGGGAAATAAGTTTGATAATGGAAAGTTCAATAGATCTAACTTGATTCATAGACTTAACGAGGCAAGATATTTGAAGTTCTTGTACATGAAAACCAACTGCAAATTCCTTGGGCCATTAACTCAAGTAGCAACTCCATTTACATTTCCACTCACAGGTTATATGGACAAAAGTATTCTAGACATTTAACTAACACAAGTACCAAAGATAAGGAAAGTTTAGAAACTGCGGAAATCTAGTGTGGGAGGTGTATTCTGCAAAACAAAATTTCTAGTACTTCCATTTAGCTGCTTCTACAGGGATAAGGTGATGACATAAAATTCTCTTCCATAAGCATCAACATACAAAAGTTCCTGAGGTGGAACATATATAGTGGGGAGATCAATTGCACACATACCTCAACGCTTTTCAAACAACTGAACTTTCGGTCATGCCAAAAAATCTGTTAAAACCTTTTTTTTTTTTTTTTTTTTTTTTTTTTTTTTAATGCAGCTTCCATGGGCAGCTGGACCAGAGTTTTTGTCTTTATACGCTGATAAAGTTGAATCGAGCAACCCAAGGGCTGCCTACCTTTGTAAGTCACTTTTTCTGTTTGTAGCTGTTTGCTTTGAGTTTGGTTGTACGTAGGATGAATGGGTTTTACAACCTTGAAGCATGTATTGTATCATGTATTGTTTGACTATGCTTTTACTGAGTTATGTCATAAAGGTCTACGTCATGTCTTAGCTTCAAATAAAATCAATAGTTTTGAATTGATGATCATACAAAGAAAGAAGCTAATTTGAAGAAGATTCTTTATGAGTTACCCTATTGCAAAATTTTATAGAAACCATACTTTCTAGAGTGAAAGGCTATGATAGTTATTCTTTCTGGGTGTATTAGTAAGAGTTTAATGGAAAAAAAAAATTGTACTCTAGATTTTGGCGGTATACAATGTATGCATACATTTTAAAATTTGTGTCAAATAAAAGCTATACAGAAGAATATTCAACAGGGAAGACTTGCTCAGTTTTGTAGTTAGGAAAATGGAAAACATTTTCTCAAAACCAAATCAAAGGGAGGAATGTATTCATGTAAATGAAAATACGAAATTATCAATCAGGAGCATGATGAGGTGTTTTGATAAATTGTATGACAACTAGTATTAATTTTATAAAGGCTATGTGGGAGCTTCCAAGCATTGGAGTGTGTAGTAAATGTGAGTGCCTACATTCTTAAGGAATAAATCAACTTAATTTTGATAAACAATTTCATCAGGTCGAGTGTATGCCCTCCAGAGAGCTCACAAACGAGATCCACTACCAAATGGTGGTGGTAGTGTTCATCAATTCAAAACTGCCCTAATTCATGGCCTCAAAAAGGTGCATCTTCTCTTCCTTTTCCATATTTTGTGCTCTAATTCTTGGCCCCACTCTTTTTTTGTTCTTGAGCTGAGCATTTTGAAATGAATCAATATTAGGTTACTGTTTCTTTTTGCATGTTTATTTGAAACTAAGAAGGAATGAAGTTTGGTAGGGAAATGTTTAAAAAAGTGTCTACTTCAAACTGATAACTTAGGAATCCTGGACCTTTGTTGATCTTAAACTTGAAAAGCAAACCAAATTTCTTTGCACAACTAATTAATCTAAATGAATTTAAGAAGGAAAATGAATTTAATTAGTGCAAGTTTAGCAACAAGGGAAACCGTAATGTCAATGTCTATTGCACACCAGACCTTAGCCCATTTCAATCAACTGAATTTAAAATTATGCCAAAAATCTCTTCAAACTTTACGCACCCTCTATTACGGAAAAAATAATGAGTTATATCTGTAAGTTTTCTGTGTTTAACATACCTTGAACTATATTTTGTTCTTGGAACTCTCCTGATGTTTGTTACAATGTACCTTTTATTGATGGCTGTTAAACATTCATTTCCTCTTTTTGTGTGACATATGTCGTCAAAATATTTATATTTCTCAAATTTTATGCTTTATGATTATTGTCCTATTGAAGCCTCATTCTGGTCTACAATTTGATAGCAAAAAAGTGTGTCTTCCCTTCATTGGAATCTTCAAAAAACGGTGTCGATGGATGTCAACATGGCCTTGCTTCCCTATGAAGTATTATATATGATAGATCTTTCTAAAACGTTTAATTGGTGCATTCCAAGAATGTTAAAATTTATGTCAGTCTTGTTTTTCATCATTAGTTTCCTTTCTGAAATTGAGCAAGTGCATAAATGGCCGCTGCATCATTTTTTACTTTAATTCCTAATATTATGAAGTCCATCTTTGTATTCTATTCAGCAAGACGCAGAAGCAACAGGAAGACAAAGAAACAGTGATGCTAATGGAATGCAGGCCTTTTATTGGCATTATTATGAAAACTACATTAAAAGATTGCAAAATGCTGACAATGTTGATCGGTAATCATCTTCTTGGTTGTCATATTTTCATTTTGCCTTGTATTCCTGATTGCAGATATTTACTTCTAATGTCAGTACCCGTCTCACAAAAGCTTATCAAACTGAGGCTGTTCTGTTTGAGGTTTTGAGGGCTGTCTGTCTGGAGCAATCCGTTGAGTTGGAAGTTGAGGTAAATGCTGGATATCTCTCTTCCTTCGAATGATTCATTTGACGATTACTTATATCTAGTGAATTGTATATGTGTATAGATATTGAATGCACATACACTGGTTGCAGACATGTATACTCGTAGTATACTTTCACTCGACCCTGATAGTTCAAATCAAGACCTGGTAAAACGTTTAAAGGTTAGCTCCAGAAATCATGTCATGTCCAGGATGAATCAGCCAAACAAACCCAAAATCCCCCTCGAGGCCCTAAAGAGTTGTACCCAAGACTTCAATGAAAGAAATGTCATTGGGAGAGGTGGATATGGAAGGGTCTACAAGGGAATCCTCTCTTGGGCTGATCATGATAACCAGATAGTTGCTGTAAAACGTCTAGATGTCTCCGGATTACAAGGTAACAAGGAGTTCCACACCGAGCTCACGATGCTTTCACAGTATCAACACGATAACATTGTAAGACTTATAGGGTTTTGTGATGATAACAAGGAGATGATTCTTGTATATGAGTATGCAAGACATGGAAGCCTCGACACATATTTACGTGACACTTCTATGGCGGTTGGACTATCATGGCTACAAATCCTGAAAATATGCATTGATGTTGCTTCTGCATTGGACTATCTTCACAATCACATAGCAGAAAAACACCGAATAATACATCGTGATATCAAAAGCGCCAATATTTTGTTGGTAGAGAATTGGAATGCAAAACTTGCTGATTTTGGGTTGTCTAGGATAGGTCTAGCAAATCAACAGAACACGTTTGTGATCACTAACCTTGCCGGCACACATGGCTATTGTGATCCACAATATGAAAAAACAGGTTTCTTAACGAAAGAGTCAGATGTCTTTTCCTTTGGTGTAGTTTTGTTTGAGGTTTTGTGTGGAAGGCTGGCGTGTGTTTCATGTTACCATGATGAGCGGCGATTCCTCCATCATTTGGCCCGGACATGCTACGAAAATGGAGAGCTAGGCAATATTATTGATCAGAGAATAAGCAAAGATATTAAACCACAAGCGTTGTTCAAGTTTTCAGCCATTGCATATCAATGCTTGCAAGAAACTCGTGAAGACCGACCTACAATTTCTCAGGTTGTGTTGCAGCTCAAGGAGGCCAAGAAAATTCAAGTAAGTTTGAATTCCATTTTTATCAATTCCATCGATATGGATATGTTTTTAAGATGAGGAATAAAGATTATCTACATAAAATTACACTTGTTAATGATGGCTCATTTGTTTTAATTCATTGTTAGTTGCAAGATGAGATCTCTCCAAGATGAACCGGAAGATGAGATCCTCCCATATGAATTAGAAGATTAGATCCTCCTAGGAACTAAACAAGGGATACTTGAAAGCTTAAAATCCAAAGGTTGCATAAAGAAACAATGAGACAACCATTCTTTATGATGAGTTGGACATTGGAGTACGAAGTAAAAAGAAATGATAAGATTAAAATTGTTTCTTTACAAATTTAACATACGATTTATTAATTTTTTTATTAGTTTAAAGAAATGATAAGATTAACAATTGTTTCTTTACATATTTAACATAGACTTATTAACTCTTTTTTTATTAGTTTGTTTATATGCTAAAAGAAATCTCAGCTTTAGCGGTAACAAATTGTTGTTGTTGCCGCTAATGCCTTTTTACCCCAATCTATATGGCTGAGAAAAACCTTATCTGTTAATTAGATTTGTCAATCCAATGGCTGACATTTCGTCTTGTACACCATCATTTGCGGTGATATCAATAGTGGCGACCTTGTCACCCCTAATACCCGAAAAATAAATGACTGCGAAAACTTCCTTACATAATCAACTTTGAGCGTTGCTAAAACCTTAGACCATTAGATTCTATTCTCCCTTCTTGGTAAAAATGCATAAAGACAACAAAGAAGAAAGTGGATATAAATATTAGCTACACAAAACCCTAATGAGCTAAAGACTAAAAGGCCCATAAGCAAGTGGGCTAATAATATATACGCTAAAAGTAAGATGCTATGAAGATGCTTAATATGTTTGGAAAGTGCTTTATGACCTTTAGTGACTAGAAATATGAAAACCAACACCACCCCGTTTTAAGAAACCGTTACCAAAAGATAGGTTTGTACTAGTGTTATGGAAAAAATTTGAGACACAAAATGGCAATGAGTTGGTATCACATAAGTGAGTCTCAATGAGACCAAAAGAAAAAAGCTTATGAAGAAAAAGAGACAAGTTGTTGATAAACAAAATACGAACCGAAATTTTTTGGTGAAAGAGATACATGAACCGAAGGGTCATGCCGTGATTACTACGTACACGTCGTGAAAGTGTCTAAACGACGACAAAACAATTATGACATTAAATCTCTTCGCGATCAACCTGAATCATGAAGTGATTTTCTTCTAGTGATGGAACGTTTGACATTCAAATAAAATTTTATGGTTCCACGTCTCAATTATAACCTGAAAAGAACTAGAATAAAGATTGGAGAGTTGAATATAAAGAAGGAAGCTTAAATGCATAAGACAAAATGAGTGTTTAGAGCGTAAGCAAGAGTTGAATCCTTATTATTCATGAATACATGTTTACCAACATGGTGAAAAAAAGGTGAAGTTATGCATGACTTCAACTAGCCTTCCGGTAGCTTGAAGTGAATGTGAGGGCTAAAGAGAATAATACGTTGCTTGGATGGTAACAAAGTTTCGGTAGCTTGAAGTGAATGTGAGGGCTAAAGAGGGATAAGCGGTCTCAAGTTGACGAATAAGATGCACCCTTTATGAATCATAAAAATCATTTATTACAACTCACTATACTTCAACAATTTTAATTTGTCAAACGTAGAAAATGAATCACAAGGAGTCAAAAAGTCAAGTTTTCTAAAAATTTGATGCTTATTTCAATAAAGCAATCCCCAAATTCCAGAATTTGCATATCAAAACCATGTTGAAAATATCAAAATCATTTTTGGACAACTCAATATACTTCAACAAATTTTATTTGTCAAACAAAGAAAATGAATCATAGGAGTTACATCCGCCCTTTTTTCTAACCATTCAATACTTATTTCAATAAATCAATTCCCAAATTCTAGAATTTGCATATCAAAACCGTATTAAAAATATCAACTTTAAAGTGATGTTGATTAATAAGTTTGGTTATTGGTCATATGGTGTCTTGGAATAGCATAATATCCATACATTTTTCATAATCCCAGTACTATGTGTATGACAAAAAGAAAATACATTCTAAAAAAAAAAAAAAAACTTCACCGTGAGGGTGATGCATAGGCAGGGGCGGACTCAAGAATTTTCCAAAGAAGGGGCAAATTTTTTTTATAACAATTTTATAGGGGGCAAATTTTTTTGATGAATCCAAATATATAATTTTAAAGGGTTAAAATATATTTTTTTTTGAAAAAACAAACATATTTTTTAATGAATTTTGTTTGTTGTGGAGGCAATTGCCCAAGTGTCCCCCATTGTAGGACCGCCCATGTGTAGAGGGGATCTGTTTGGATACAACCAGGTTTTCAAGTGGAGGAGGGAACATGAAGATGCTTTCTATTTATATATATTTTTAATTAAATTAAAAGAAAGGACAAAATAAGTGAAAACAAAATAAGGTCAATTGGTTATTTTTAAGACTTAACGTCTTATTGTTAATGGTTAATAATGTTAGCTAAAAAGGAGCAACGGTGTAATTGTTTAAAAATACAGGGAAACAATCTATGAGGGTTTCAAAAGTTACACAAAACTTATAACTTTAACCAAACTCCAGGGTCCATTTCTGTAATTTACTCCTAAATATATTTATATTTCAAAATGTAAGATAAAAGTGCACCACACCTTCCGGATTGGAAATTCGATACTCTGTACTCGTACAAACTCAAGTCAACCCCTTCGTTTCATTGCCAATTCCAAAACATCAACAAGGAAACAATCTTTCCTTTTCCTAATTCCAATGGCTGAAATCGTTGTTACTGCCGTCCTCACCACGCTGTGTGAGAAGCTTATCTCTGCTGATTTGATGAAGCTTGCTCGAACCCAAGGAATTGATCCTCAGCTAAACAAATGGAAGAAAACCTTGCCTCTCATCCAGGCTGTGCTTGCTGATGCAGGCCAGAAACAGATAACAGAGAGATCTGTTCAATTGTGGGTGAACAATCTCCAGGATTTGGCTTACGAGATAGACGATGTACTCGATGCTTTGGCCACCGAAGCTGGGCGACGCAAGTTGTTTCAAGAAACTCATGCCAGCGCCAACACTAGTATGGTACTGAAGTTCATCCCAACTTGTTGTACTAATTTCACTCCTAGTAACATTATGTATGGTCGTCAGATGAGTTCTAATTTAAATGCGATTACTACCAAATTGCATGATCTTGTGGAGGAGAGAAATGGTCTGGGTTTAAATGTGAATGTAAATTTTGAAAGGCCAAATCAATCAGAGAGACGATTGGAGCAAACTTCACTGGTTGATGAGTCCAGAATCATGGGTCGGGAAGGGGATAAAGAAGCTTTGTTGGGGAAGTTGTTAGGGAATAATGATAAAGTGAGGATACTCTCCATTGTTGGCATGGGTGGGATAGGGAAAACCACTCTGGCCAAAGTTTTGTACAATGAGGAGAAAGTGAAGAATCACTTTGAAGTTAGGGTATGGGTTTGTGTTTCTGAAGAGTGCGATGTATTTAATATTAGCAAGGCTATTTTTCAAGCTGTAGGTGGGGAGGAAAATAGATTTTCTAATCTAGACATGCTTCATGTGAAACTCAAAGAAAAACTTTTAAAGAAAAGGTTCCTACTTGTTTTGGATGATGTCTGGAATGTAGACCGGAGTAAATGGGAACTCCTACAAAGTCCTCTTGTACGGTTACCTGGAAGTAAACTTATGGTGACAACTCGGGATACCAGGGTTGCATTAGTTATGGACTCTGATGAAGCTTACGATCTGCAGGTTTTGTCAAATGAAGTTGCTTTGTCTTTATTTGCCCAACATGCGCTTGGTGAAAAAAACTTTGACAAACATCCAACACTTAAATTGCATGGTGAAGGTATTGTGAAGAAATGTGGTAGATTGCCTTTGGCTTTGAAAACACTTGGGAGGGTCTTGAAGACAAATAGAAATGGTTATGAATGGGAAAAGTTGTTGAATAGTGATATATGGTATATAGATGATGGAAGGGAGATTCTTCCGGCTCTAAGACTAAGCTACTATCATCTCCCTCCACATTTAAAGTTGTTGTTTGCATACTGCTCCTTATTTCCCAAGGACTATGTATTTCAAAAGAAAGAATTAGTCCTACTGTGGATGGCCGAAGGATTTTTATCCCAGTCAAAAGGCATGAAGTCAATGGAGAGTTTAGGTCATCAGTATTTTGAAGAGTTAAAGTCAAGGTCATTTTTTCAATATGCAATGGATGATGAATTGGGATATACAATGCATGACCTGATAAACGATTTGGCTACAAGTGTTGCAGGAGAGTTTTTCTTTAGACTGGATGATGAGATCGATGCATCCGATACAAATGAAACTTTTGAGAAGTTTCGTCACTTTTCACTTGTAGGTCCACAATGTGGATCATTTAGAAAGTTCAAGGAATTACAAAGAGCTAGACGTTTGCGAACTTTCTTACTAATGTTAGTTGGATGGAAAACTAACGACTTATTGGATAGTGTTCTTTTTGATTTACTTCCTGAACTACGATTCCTAAGGGTGCTAAGCCTAAGTAGTCAGAGTATCATAAAGTTACCAAAATCCATTGGTGGTTTCAAGCATTTGCGATACCTCAATTTTTCTTATACTGAAATCACATGTTTACCTGAACAAGTGAGTGACCTTTATAATCTACAGAGCTTGTTGGTTCGGGGTTGTTATGAGTTATCATGCTTGCCAGAAAGTTTTGCAAAGTTAATAAACATGCGACATCTTGACATAACTGATACTCCAAAGTTGACGAAGATGCCCTTAGGAATTGGTGGGTTGACGAGTCTACAAACTCTACCCAAGGTCATTATTACTACAGGAGCTAGCAGGTTCAGAATATCCGAGCTTAAGGGCCTTTCTGATCTTTAAGGTGGACTTTCTATCTCGGGGCTCGAGAAAGTTCTAGATCCAATAGAAGCAAAGGATGCCAAGTTACATCGAAAGAAAGGTCTTGATGCTTTGGAGCTGATATGGAGTCATGTGCTTGATGATTCTCGAAATGAGAAGATTGAATATGAAGTACTTGCAGAGTTAAGGCCTTCTCATCATAAGTTGAGAAACTTGAAGATTTTGTTCTACAAGGGAATAAGATTTCCTAGTTGGGTTAGCGATCCCTCATTTGATCAATTAACTGAGCTTACATTATGTGGTTGTAGAAGTAGACATCTACCAACACTTGGACATCTACAGTCGCTTAGGAAATTATTTGTTGTAAGGATGAATGAGGTGAAGACTTTGGGTTTTGAGTTACTTGCACCTACAAATTCTCTTGTTGACATTGCATTTCCATCACTTGAAGTTTTGGAATTTGATGATATGCATGGTTGGGAGAGATGGGCAACTAGTAGTCATGATGTTGATGGAGGACCTACTAGATCGTTTCCTTGTCTTCGTGAGATTTCTATAAAAGATTGCCCCAAACTAGATCAAGTGTCAATTGGATTGATTCCTTCACTTAGGGTTTTACATATAGAACGATGTTTCGAAGTTGTGTTAAGAAGCATGATTGGTGCGTCTTCGTCACTTGTTATTTTACAAATATTGAATGTTAAAGGACTTACTCAACTACATAGAGAAGACTTAATACATCTTGGGAGACTTGAAAGTCTGTATATTGAAAAATGTGATGAATTGAGATACTTGTGGGAACGAGATTTGGAGGCATGCAAGATTCTTGTGAGTTTGCGGAAGTTGGAGGTGCATAATTGTAAGAAGATGGTATCATTAGGAGAGAAAGATGTTAATTTGGGAATTAACATGAAATCTGTTAAACAAGTGATATTTCATAACTGTGATACACTGGAGAGTTACGATTGTCCAAGTAGTACTGAAAGCTTGGAGATTAGTAGTTGTGATTCAATAACTTCCTTGACCTTCTCAGCAATTCAAGAGCAACGATCCCTTGTCACAGAATCGATAATCAATGATTGTGATAACATACAACGCATTCCAAATAAAGGTTTTGGTTTTCATCCCCTCTTTTCCTTAATATCTCTTCAGATCTATAACTGCAAGAATCTGAAGTCATTTCCTCATGAGCATTTGCAAAGTCTCACATGTTTGGAACAACTGTGGATATACGATTGTCCAAGTATGGACTACTCTTTTCCTTGTGGGTTGTGGCCTCCTAATTTAAGCACCCTCCATATAGGAGGCTTGAAGAAGGCCATGTCAGAGTGGGGCCCACAGAGATATCCAACCTCACTAGTTGATCTATACTTAAATGGAAAAAATTCAGGAGTGGTTTCATTTGCACTAGAAGAAGATGCGAGGAATACTACTACTTCATCATCTTTTCTTCTTCCATCATCTATAGTTTCTCTAACACTCAGTGGTTTTAAGGATTTGGAATCAGTTTCAGAAATCCCACAACGCCTCCCGTGCCTTAAAGATCTTAACATTTGGTTTTGCCCGAAGCTTGCGTTTCATAACTTCAGACCCAGCATAACAGAAAGTAATGGTGGGGTGATTAAATAGGTACCTTGTTTCCTTGCCCATCCTTTCGTATCTCTTAGATAAGTACTAAAAGTAGACTTAATGTTACTATGTTTCCATTTGAGTATGTATTAAATGTATACTTTTATCTTGTTGTTATATAGATATAACATGTTTATTTGGATATATATTCATTATTTTACAATTTCTTACATGTCAATGGAAGTTCTATAGGTTGTAGCTGTCTTGTTTTATCCACATTATGTTACAACATCTATGTGGTTTATCTCCATTCATGTAGTTTTCGTTTTAACTGATGTTGGATTCCAGTTTTGTCCACCGTTGAAAGAATTAATAGATAACATACCCAAATTTGGTACAATTTGGAATTCATTCTACAAACTTTTACCTTTTTGGTAAAATTCATTGTCATTAAGACATTGATTTCGACAAATTGTGTACAAATTGGGGATTATCATAATCTCTTTGTAGTATTTGCTGTAAACTTCAGATTTTCGAATAATTTTTTTTATCAGGTCGGACCTAGGTCAATCCACAAGGTAAAAGGATCCGTACACCCTTAAACTTTATTAAAATGAGCCCCCATTCTTAAACTTTAAGAAGCGACACCTTCATCCCCTTTACTTCATGCTTTAACACACAAACAACTTTCTGTGATCCAGGATTAAGAATACAAACAAGCCCAGTTCTTATTAGTATCACACAATGAAGGTTATTGAATCACAACTAGAACCATACAACTCTAAAATACCCATTAAACCATTTCAAATTTAGATTGAAAAAGCAAGGAGAACCATTTAATACTGCCTTTCAATCTAAAATTAGACTGGATCTATCATTATTAATTTTCAGCAAAGAAAATTGTGTTGTAACCATTTAATCCATTTGTTAAGATATCTGCAATCTCTTCTTTGGAACAGGTTTTGAGAGCATTGACGTCAGCTTCTATATGCTTTGTCCTATCATGAAAGACATGATTAATAGACAACTGAATTGCATAAGAATTATCACAAATAATGTCACCAGAAAAGTCAGCACGTAAATTTCTCAGCAATTTTCACAACCCACCAAACTTCGCATGCAACTGAGGCAAAAGCTTGATATTCAAATTCTGTAGGCAATCTAGAGACTGTTGCTTGTGTTTTTTTTTTTTTTTTTTTTTTTCCAGGAGATTAAGGAATATACAAGAGATAAGCAAAAACCAGTAATAGATCTCCCGGTGCTCAAATACTTCCCTAATCATCATCAACATGAGCAACCAACTTCTGATTGAGTAATTTATAAATTGAAATTCCTTTTATTGGATTTAATTTTGATTATCGTAAAACCCTTATAGCCAATTTTAGATGAAAACTAACAGGGGCATGCATAAATTAGCTTAGGGTTTTAATAATAAACGAACTATCAGACAGGTTTAGTAAGATACATCAATTTTCAAATTAGCTTTTGATAACCAATAAAATCACTCAGCAAATAGTCATTGTCGTTAATACCAATTGTAACATCCCGTTTCGAGGTAATATTTTAGGCTCTGGTGGTCATTGACTGGTAAAGGCCCCGGGTCTCTAAGGATTTGGTTTGGACCATAAGGAATAAAGTTCTTGGACTTGGTGTTAAGACTTTGGGCTTAGAGTGATGTTGAACTGAAATTGAAATTTGGGTTGCTGGCCCAGGCATGCAACAACATGGTAGGTTATTGACCAAGGTGTGACACATCTCTTAAAAGAGAAATGCGCCCGAATGCTACCATGGCATGGTGATCGCTACAGCCTAAGCCCATGAAAATTAGGGTTTCTTCCATATTGAAAGGCTTTAACTCATGGATTAGGCCAACCTCTCCGGCCTCCACCTTTCCAAATCGAAACCCTAGCCTCCATCCATGATTGTGAGCTTGTTTGCTTGATTGAAAAGCTTGTTCTTTTGGTTTTGGTGAATCTCGAGGAAGAAGGGACTCCATTTTGGTGCAAGGAAGCAAGGAGATAGCTTATATTCATAATCTTCTTTAGATTAATGAGACATTTGAGTTAGACACTTCATACCTTGACCTTAGTTCTTATAGATGCAAGTTTAAGTTCATTATGGTTAGTTATGATCCCTTTTATGGATGTTCTTGGAGTTGAGGAACTCCAAAGCTTATTATGACACTTTATAGGCTCTTAGAATTCTCTTAAGTCGGAAAAAGCTCCTTGCTTGGGTTCTCTTGTACCTATGCAAAATGTCTTAGGGTTGTTTGTTTTTTTTTTTTTTTTTTGTAAAGATCTGCGCAATCACTTTTGTTTACGCCGCGCAGACATATGCCCTCGCAGAGTGTTTGTTTTTTGGAAGTGCGCAGATCAAAAAACGTCTACGCAAGGTCTTTCCGGTGGAGAACTGTCTTCAAAGGTCTCCAGACCTCATTTTAACCTTAAAAAAAGGCCAATATTTTTTTTTTCTTTCTCTTTTTGCTGAAAATGCATTTTTAATGTTTACCGCGTGAAATTAAGTTTGAAAAATTAATTAATTTCAACAGCTGCAAACGTTAAAAACAAACAGTCTTCTTATTGCAGACTCCAGACATTTGGTCCACCTCTTCTGCCGTAGAGGCTTGCAGATGTGGTCCGCAGACTGCAAACATTTTGGCTTCAAAAAAACAAACAACACCTTAGCCTTTAGAGATCTTAATGAAATTAGGGTTCAAGATCTTATTTTTGGTGATTTCTTATTGGATAAATTTGGAAACTTTATCCATTAAGTCAATGAAAAGAGGTATATCTAAAGTTATGAGCTTTGATCTGAAAGGATTAAGCTCATAATGAAGAAATAGCATCCTAGCCGAAACCATGGCGTGGGGATGCATAACAATGTGACTCTTTTGTCCGGACGTGGCCAAGGACTTGCCATGATGTGGTGGTCATTGACGTGCTAACCGTTAAATTTTGTTGACCATTAACCATTGACTTTTGACTAGTTTGACCTTGATTCAAACTTGAAGGATTTGGGTTGTTGATTGAGGTTTCATCCATATTCGTTGGTAGTCGGTACACGAGTCTAATCAGTGTGGGGAGTTAAGAGGGTTGTTTTGTTTCTCCGGTTCTACGATTCAGGTGAATTCTTTTAATATACTATGTGTTACGATGTATATCCTTGCAAGGTAGAACGTAAGGAGTAGGGGTAGTGATATGCGGGTTAGAGTATTAGTAGGTTCGTGGTCATCCAATTGAGAGCCCTAGGGGTTGTATGTAGTCATATAGGATAGCTTGAGAACTCTGGATCTAAGCTTGCTTGCATGTTCCTTGTTTGGTTGTGGCTTTAGAGTAAGATCACATGTTCGACTGTCTATCCTACCTTTGATTATATACAACTGTGCATTCATTTGGTGATCTTCCAGATGTGGCGTAGTGTGTTGTAGGACACCATGTATGCTGTAGTGGGTTATTAGATATGTAGACTAGTGTAGACAATTGTGTGTATTGTTGGACTATTTGTGTCACACCCCGGCCGTCGGCGGAAACACCGGGTAGTGTAACGTCATTTTTCGTATCACAGTTATATAACATACATTGAACAATACTTAAAGAAAATACATACCTTTATTGATGTTTGAAAGTTACATTATTGTTTTCCTAGTATTTATTACATAATATCCGACTATGACATACTTCTTAATGAACAGAAAGATAATAGTAAACCTTCTCCTGTTCGAATACATACCAGCTTTTCAAGTTCCTGAAAACACATGCATTTTAAAATACATCAACATAAAGTTGGTGAGTTCACATGTTTTGACTCCATAAAATAATACATTTTTACACATTCAAAAGTATAGTTTTGAAAGTATCATTTTGATTGTCCAACATTAGGTATAATGGTATACTTATCAATTAAGTGTTATACCTAAACATTTCTTAATCTTAAGGTATAAGTAGGGGAAAACTTATACTTAACATTAATACTTGTATACGACAAGTTATAATGTTTCTAACAATTTGCTACCATGAGCCTGTAACCGTTTCTTTGAAATAATACATCTGATGGAACAATACACTCATGATTTACCATGAGAACAAATACACTCATGATTTAACATGAGAAACAACACCGTACGCTTCATCGATGCTGGAATAATAACAAATAAAAGGATAGTTCATCACTTGCTTTTGGTTGACTGTAGCTAACAGTCACAAGTGGGGTGGTCAGCCCGTATACTAATTATACACGACTTCCTCGCTCACACAGGATTAACTGTTACAGTTCAGAGGATTTCCGCTAAGATCCCCAATCTTAGTTAATGAATACAATTACTCATGTAGACTTTGACGACTTCCTATAGCTCTAACAACAAAAGCATCTTCATGTCTAAAACCTTAAGTTACTAGACTTTGCTTTTAAACATTACTCCTAACTTCATAATATTTAGGCAGTATAACAGCTATATCTTGAAGTAAAAATCAGGTTTTATCTTGACCTAAAACCAATAATAACAACATATAACGTTTGTAGTTTTATCTTGACATAAAACTATCAATAACAATACCAAGTTTTATCTTGACTTAAAACTAACAATAACAACATATAACATATCCAGTTTTATCTTGACATAAAACTATTAATAACAACATACTATATAACTTAACATTGAGAATTTTCGAATATTACTTCGGTATTATATCGCACACAACATATATGTAGAATCCTAAGTATAACTCAAGATCTACATTAGTAAATTAACATACTGATAAGTTAATAATAGTTGCATGTATTCAAAATGTTATATTTAGAACAATCATATCTCGATTATCATAACTATCTACTATCATATAGACATAATAGTAACATATATACAATGACTAGCATGCGTTTTCCCTCGAAATATTAGAAAGTGGGGCCATGAAACTCACCCTAGTAGCGTCATTTTATGTTATCTAAGCAAAACAGTCAGCGTGCAAGATCGTCGGGGCTCGGGATGCAAGATGGCTTCAGCAAGGAGAGAGGAGATAAGGAAAGGTGTAATGAATAACTGAATTCGGACCTGCTATTTATAG